GGTGGACCCACCCTAGTAAGTTAAAAGTTTTCATCTGTGTACAACTTTCTACCATCCTGTATATCAGATCATGAAATTGTCGTATTTGCATTAAGTTCATCTTTTTCGATCTTGTACTGACAAGTTTAGTAAACTAATGCCTAATTCAAATGTCAGATTTAATTCTTCCCTTATTTTTATGATCCTTTTATTCAGTGTTTCAGATGATTTGTAGTTCAGTTTTGACAACAAACATTCTCCCCCTACACACGCTTTCCCTTGGTTTTGTTGTTCATGTGCACAATATTTTGTGCCAGTCAGTGAATTAAAGAACATGTTCCAATGTATTAGTCCATCAGTTTATGCAAGACCTGCTGAGATTTTAGGTGGAACAGTGCATCATCAGGGTGGCTTTATTTAAATCACTAATTATGGTACAGGTCAAATGTAGGAAAGCTGATTATGAATTGCATGTAACATTGTTTGTATACATTCATAGGAAGGGTAGTTCTTGTTCAGTCACCTTTAAAATAGTGCTTTGTAGCTAAATTTATGCTTTAGCCAAAAGTGTCAGTATTTTATGTGACTAGAAGGCTAGTTTTTATGTATGCTTATGCACATAAATTTCATTAAATTAAACAACATATAATATTTTAATTCTTGAAGCAATTATTTTCTTGTCTTGAACTTTTTTATAATGAAATTTTTTTAATTGCCTCATATTACTAGATTTGTGACTATAACTAATGGAAAAAACAGATTTCTAATTTGCTGTATGTCCTGGTATGTTATCAGTGTTTCTCTCATAGCAAATCCCAGGCTGAAAGCAAAATGCAGCACAATTCTAGCTCCTGAAAAAGAAACCCAGCTCTGTTTCAGCTAAAAACCAGGACACTGTATCCTTCAGGATTCTAGAGTTGGTAGATATTCTGCCCTGTGTTTTTTGATAGCTGTAAATAACTTGACTGCAGACATTAAGAAAATCCAGTTCCTGCATCTGTAGATGGTTACTCTGTCAAGACTAAGCTAATGCTGTAATATATGCTGAAATCTAAAAATCTAGATTTTATTTATTCAGTAGCTTAATAGTTTGTGTATTTATGTTTTCTTAATTTCAACAGTCTAGTTATTGACATTCATATTTTCCTCAAAGGCGGCTACATTTAAAACCTCTGCATGAAATATCTGTCTAGTTTTGGGGGATTTTTTAAAACAGTAAGTACCTTAATCTACACTTAATTAAATACACAAATAGTTATCTTCTTCCCGGTCTTTATCAACTCCAGTTTGTTTTCTAATGTTGAACTAGACTGTTGAAATTAAGAAAACATGTACAACTACATATAACTTTTGTAAATAAGCAAATAGTATATTTACAGCTATTTTGTGTTTTTGATGTACATACAAAATAATGTATACTTGTTTTGTGCATTTATGTAAATAAAAATGTAACTCGCCATATTGAATAAATGGATTTACTAATTTTAAAGGAAAGCTTCTCTTCATTCATTATAATGTTCTGAAGTTGAAAAACCTTAAATTAAGGCACAACGTAGTAGGACCAGGCATCACATGGAATAAGTACAATTTTTCTTCATGCAAAGTTAGTGTGGTTTATAGTAGTGGGCACTTTTGCTCTTCTGCAGAACCAAGCCTGCCTGTCTCTAGCAGAGAGAAATGTTTCATTCCTGAAATAGCTTTCTGAAGCTAAACCTCAAGCAGTCTTTATTACTATATTGTTCATTGGAGGAAAAAAAATACACTTTTTACTTTTTTCTTAATTTTACCAGTTCAGGTAGAAGCAGCAGTGCTTTTGGCATTATAGGACACTGTTTCCTCAGCTTCATTTTGATGAAATGCTTTTCCTGTTCCTGAAGGTGTTGGAGGTACTTCTGGGTGGGGGAAAAGCAAGAGTTACAGAAAGTTCTTTTCTTCTCTTTTGTTTTTTGGGTGTATAGTTGTGGAGTCCAGTGGTCAACATAGTGGGATACAGTTTTCTTCCCTTCTCTATTGAGAGCTTTTTTCCTTAGTGTGACAGATGGAGTTTCTTACAGACTTAATCTAGGTTTATAAGAAGCTCAGAAAATAGTTATGTCATTTTAGAGACAGAGGTGGATGTTTACAGGCTTTTTAGTGGAAACAGATCTTTTTTTAGATTGAAACAAAAGCTGAGTTTAATGTGATGTGATGATATAAATGTTGACTTGTTGCTTATATACATGTGCATACATTTACAGAGCTGTTTTCTCTTCTAGGATCCTTCTGTTACACAAGTGACAAGAAATGTTCCTCCAGGACTAGATGAGTACAATCCTTTCTCTGATTCAAGAATAGTAAGCACGTTTATTTCTTAATATGCTTTTAATCTTTTTGGGTAAGATTTGTGAGGTATTGTTTTCAGTGTTTGGGACTGATATTGTGAAACATGTGATGGGCTAGCTAGAGGTAATGGAAGATGTGCAAAGATAGATAGTTCCCTAACGTGTTTGGAGTGAATAGATCGACCTAAGTGAGCTTTGACCTGTTAAGGAAGAGTGGCTCTGTGACAGGGAGCTGAAACAGAATTGAAGTTCAGTAACTGTTCAGTAAGACTTCTGGTAGTCTGTCCTTACGCTTTTCTGAATTTTACTTGCTTTAAAGCTTGTGAGCGTGGCACACTTCCCCAGTGACTTGCTTTTGATTTCCATTTCACTTAATGAAAGTGCTGCTCAGAAAAAGAAAAACTTTGTGTTTATGTAATGGTGTACAGGCTACGAGTAGTTCTGCTGTAGTAAAAGGAATAATTTATGTCCAAGAAATACAGTTGGTTTTTGCCTCAATTTGTACAGGCTTAATTTACCTTGTGCTTATTTTCACCCATGGGGGGAAATACAAGGAATGGGATAGTAAATTCATACTGTAACAGCATTTTTCAGTTGTTACTTTTGATATTGAGGATCTTGTACAAGATTAGTAAAATGTATGGATGATTACTGTCTGTCAGTATAATTTGTAAACATTTAAATACTGTATTTTTCACATGTAGACTTATTTCTTCTGGCAAATCTGGTACTGCTGATAGGGAATGTCAGTATTTGAGTCTTTGCGATGCAACAGTAAGGTTTCATTCAGTGTTAAAATGCTAGACTAGTAGAAGCTTGTTTTTGAATGTGCCTTGGATCAGCTGTTTAAGGCAGAATATTTACAACTAGCAACAATATTAAATGTCTCCAGTTTTTTTTTTCTCCTATCTCACAATATCACGAATTGTGTTTGATTTATCCTTATGAAGCTTGACAAGTTTCAAAATTGCTTTCTGTTGATCACAAGTTATAAAGACAGTAGGTGATGTTTAAAAAGAAATTAGTGCTACTCTGACTTTTTATTACTTACGTAGCTTGACATGCAGCTCTGTGGGAAAAGGAAAACTGAAGTATAAGGCTAAGGTTATCTGGCTTTGAACAGTCAACTGTGCACATGTAAAAAATTCTAAGTGCTCATTACAGATGTCACTCATAGAAAAATGGGGAGGATGGAGGAAATCTTTATGTCAGTGTTCAGATCTACTGAGTACATGCTATATTCATGCACTGTGATTCAGTTAAAAATCTATTTGATGTTACCAAATTCATAAAAACTATCTATTGAATGAGTAGAGGAAAAGAACTTCCACAGGTTTTCTTGCAGAAAGCAAGCCTGAAAGAATATATTCAGCTAAGAGTGCAGTAATAATCAGCCTTTAGATGATACTCCTCTTCCTTGCTCTTGTGATGTTGAACATGTATTTATTCTGTAATAATATGCATTTGCAGGAATGTGCTTAACCTGAGGATAGGTTCACAATGCCATGTGCTCACCTTTCTTTTCCTACCACCTTTGTATGCAAGAGAAGGGCATACTATGCATCTACAAATAAACGTATGCAACAGGAATAAAAGATGAGGCAGTGAAAATGAATACCTTTAATGACTGGATGAACAGAGGTAGAAGCAGGGTCTGTGAATTTTAGACTTCGAGGATTACAGTGCCCATCAGAGTAGGGGTAGAAGTTGCTCTTCATTTTGTGTGCTACTGAGAGCAAAAACTTCCAGATAGTTTCTGGGGGCTTTGATTTCCTGCTCTTTCTTGTGCTTCATTTGTTGGGAAGCTGAGATACCTTTAGTAGTTTTGTGCATGTAGTCCCAGTTCTCACATTTGAAAATCATAACGGCGCTAGTGAGCAGGAAGGATACAAGCTGATGGTAGCAAAACATGTCCTGGAGATTTCTGTGGTCTTTAGTTTCAGAATCGCTGGTCTGTAAGACTTAAAATGATGTTTGTTTCACTATGAGTACCGATGTGTAGTTTTAGTTTTTAAGGAAGCTGAGGATGGTATGCTTTAATTAGAATCCAAATTTCTAGTCATAGTGGTAAGATGGTATCTTGCAGGTTAACACAGCGTTAACCTTCTTTCCTCCTTCCCTCCAAATTCAAGTTAATAAGGCATGCTGGACTGCAAAAACATTCCTCCATTGCAAATCCAGACAGGGGTGTTTCTTCTGTGAGAAGGTGATTTCAGACTCTGCATACTGACATTTGTTATCTTAGCTCAGTTGTGTTCTACCTTTGCCAAGGGAGATGCTTCCTCGGGGCGGGAGAAGGCAAGGAAGGCAAATTCTACTTTTTCTCAGTATTCCTTATTGTAATTATTTATATATATATATGTGTGTGTGTGTGTGTGTGTGTATATTAGTATTTCAGTGTATTCACCTTTTCTCAGTCAACTTCTATCCTTCACATCAGCAATAGTAAATTTGGTAGGAAAATAACATGAGATATGATGAGAAAAGTGAATGAACATGGGAGATTTTAGGTCTCAGGATCACCACCTTGATATCTAACATGAGAAATCATTGGCCACGAGCCTGCAGTGTGGCCTTGTGGCCAGTAAGGCCAACAGTATCCTGGGGTGCATTAAAAAGAGCAAGGCCAGCAGGTCAAGGGAGGTTCTCCTCCCCCTCTACTCTGCCCTGGTGAGGCCACATCTGGAGTATTGTGTCCAGTTCTGGGCTCCTCAGTTCAACAAGGACAAGGAACTACTGGAGAGAGTCCAGCAGAAGGCTACAAAGATGATAAAGGGCCTGGACCATCTCCCGTATGAGGAGAGGCTGAGAGAGCTGAGACTCTTCAGCCTGGAGAAGAGAAGACTGAGAGGGGATCTGGTCAATGTCTATAAATACCTGAAGTGTGGGGGCCAAATGGATGGGGCTGGGCTTTTTTCAGTAGTACCCAGTGACAGGACAAAGGGCAATGGGCAAAAACTGGAACACTGACAATTCCACACAAACTTAAGGATGAACTTCTTTGCTGTGAGGGTGCCAGAGCACTGGAACAGGCTGCCCAGGGAGGTTGTGGAGTCTCCATCTCTGGAGATGTTCAAAACCCGCCTAGAAACTTTCCTGTGCAACCTATTGTAGGGAACCTGCTTTAGCAGGGGGTTTGGACTGGATGATCTCCTCAGGTCCCTTCCAACCTCCACCATTCTGTGATTCTGTGATCAGATGGGGGGGGTTTTGTTTGTTTTTTTTCTTTCTTTCTTCTTATCAAATTTCAAAGCCTGCCTTATTTTTGATTTTTAAACCAAACAAAGTCTTTAGTGGTGGTATAAATGTCAGTTGAAATATTGTTGCCTGCATCTTCAGTGGTTTTATCTCCAGCTCTAACACAGTCACCATGGAGATGACTTTGTGTCTTTTGTCATGTTTCTGAAATCAACAAGGAACAGATGAGATTAGACAATTAGTATTTCTGCTTCATCATTTAATGATATTACTGTTAAAGAACTCTTCTAATATCTTCCTACTTCTACAGCTTTTGCTAATGCATGTTGAACTCCTCTGAGCATGCTGTTTGGTTTATGTATAACAAGTATAGACACAATAATGCTTATAGCAATCGCTTTCAAACTGCTGCATTAAAAAATTGGAAAAAAATCATTAGTAGAATTGTGAGTTTTTGTTTTTAAGGGACATATTTTAGTGGATTTTTTTTTTTTTTTTAGTAGATTCCTAGGCAGGTCCCGTCCTTTTGTCTTGCATCCAAACACAGTGAAGTGGGAAAAGTAGGAAACCAGATTGATCCACACCTGTCTTCTTTTGGAAGTCTACCTCCCACTCTTAGTAAATAAGTGACAAGAAAGTGACGTGGGGAAATTATCTTCAAGAGAGAACTTTTGAGCATTTATCTTCTGTTCAAGGCAGGGTCTTAATGATTTGCTTCTTCCCCCAGTGCAGCTGTGAAAGCAAGGCATGAAATAAAAAGATCTATCACAGAAGTACCATTTGGAGTAGGAAAAAAAAGGAGTGTTGTAGAGTGGGGTTGGTCGAATGTCAAGATGTAACTGCCTTGTCGTAATGTGTCAGCAAGGGTCAGGGACCGTGGATCTGGGACGCAAAGTCTCTGTAAAAAGTCAGCTTACTTCCCCTGTCCAAATGTGGGTGGTATATTATGATACAGTACGATATTGTCCAGTGATGGCTGGGCGTTAGTGCAACCCTCACAATACAAATCTAAGTAATTAGTGTTAGAATCATACCCTTGAAAAGACAGAGTTGCTAACCATCTGTCTTGCTGTGAATGTCTCGACACTCCTATGCAGGCTGTAAGTCAGTTGGGTATCTCTCTTCCATACCCAAACCTCTAAGCTACCAATAGTAGCACTTGGACAGACAACCAACAGTATATGGACAGGTAGGTATCACAAAATAAGTGACAAGACATAGGTTACAAGGGACCTCTGAAGGTCATGTTTTTCAATCCCCCCTATTCAAAGTTGATCACTAGGTTGCATTGCTGAGCAATTTGTCCTGGGCAGTTTTGAATATATACAAGGATGGAGATCCCGTGACCTCACTGGGTAACCTGTTTCAATGTTGGGCAGTTCTTACAGTGATTTTTCTGCCCCCCCCCCCCCCCCCCCAATAATATCTAATTAGTTTGCTGTTTTCCAACAAGTAATGTGCTGTGTCATAAAAGCAGCAGCAAGAATCTCATGTGTATGCTGATCCATAAGGGATTCAAAATGTATCTGTTTCATTTCTTATACTTAGTAAATTATGTATTGATTACAGCAGAATTCTACAGCTTTATCCTGGTATGTGAGTAAGCCAGACTTGGTCCACTAAGTATGAAATTAGGAAATGAAAATTTTTCCACAATGATTGTGACATTCTGCTCAGGTAAGAAACATGGATCAAGATTTGTTTTCACATTTTTGTTATGCCTGACATGGGGCCAAGCCTTACAGGTTCCAGAATGAGAGATTGGACTATTAAATTTGAGAGGGGAAGGAAGAGGCTTGACTTCTGCTGCCCTG